TTAAATGCAAACACTACAAACTCAAACCTACCGACGATGAAGTTTGTAAGGCGGCGGGTATTTGAGGGATTATTTCACGGCCAAGGCTCTTCATTTCATGTCGTGGGCGTCAGGTGATTGACAGGAAGCGGAGCATAATCACAAAGCATGTCAGCAATCGATGACAAGTTCTGTCTCCAACCATGTCTACTCTGTGCCACGCCTCGTTCATCCAATCAAAGAGCCTGAAAGGTTCTCTTGTCCAATTAATAAAAAGACTTGGAATATGAATGTGGTGAAAAAAGGACAAAAGCAAATGGAGGTTTTTGTATTGACTGTGTGGATTATCTGTTGCTGTGGAAGATGTTTTTTAGATGACACAAACTGCTACTTTGTACAGAAAACCAGTAAAAAGGATGAATAAACATGAGGGGGACCTTGGACAATTTCTGTTGTACAAAGACTTTCTTCATATTTTCTGCAGCTGCACAGCTTCTGACAAATGCCTGCAGTTGTGTAATGTTGCATAATGTCACTGCTACTGCATAATCCTTCTGGTAATCAACTAAGATTTAAACCTAAAACAGCATGTGTCTCTTGGTAGTTGTAACCAGAATGTAAGGCTGCTATAATCAATATTTTTTAAACAGTGGTGCTCATAGTGATGAAACCACAGAGAATTATCAGCAGTTCCCCCTAAATACGTAAAACACATTTCCATGATAACCTTTTAAGGGATGTCAGTGTTGTAGCTTGTTCCTACTACTGTGTATCAGTTCCTGTTGCATGAATTCCATGCAGAGTCGATAAAATAAACCAATCCTCTCTCTCCCTCATCTCTCTCTCTTAATTATCAAACAATACGATATGTTTGACCCACTTCCCAAAACCTAACCAGCAGAAAACGTTTTTTTTTTGTTCAAAATCCAGACCACTGTCACCGTTTAGTACCAATCTTTAGGTCCTGATTCAGGTTACATCACTCTACATCTATCTAAGAGTGTGTGTGTGTGTGTGTGTGTGTGTGTGTGTGTGTGTGTGTGTGAGGCGGCTGCGAAGGACTACGCTACTGCTGAACTGGGTCGTGGGTAACACGTTGCTATGGCAACTGCTATTTGCCAGCCCTGGGGCCCAAGAACTGCTTTTTGCGTACACTTTCTCTCTCTCTCTATGTGTTCTTTTCTCAGTTCTGCCTCGCTCACTCTGCCTCTTTCTTCACCTTCTACGCTCTTTTTCCTCTTCCCTTTGTTCCTCTGCTCCGCTTTATATCGATCACTTGCTCCGTCTTCCTCTCCATTCACCTCTGCTTTCCCGTTTCTCTCTCATACTTCTCGCTCATACCAGCGTTCCCTCTCAGTTCTTCTTCATCTGCCTCTCTCATCCCTCCTTTTTGTCGGTCTATATGGAAAAAAACAAAAAGAGCAGGAATCTATTAACATTATCTCGCTTTCACCCTCAGCTGCAAATTGAAATCCTAATTTAAGCAAGGGAACATTTTAAAGTTTTGTCCTGCAGGCCGCCACAGCGCTTTTAGAAGGAGAACAAGCTTTAACAGTGGGGGATGTTAATCCGTAATTGCTCTTCTTGTCTGTCAAATATTTGCTGTTCTGTCGATTGACAAAATTAACAGAAATCCTCTCTCTTTTGTTCTTTCATATTGGAGAGCACGTGTTCAGGCGCCTTCACAGGCAGCCAGTAAAATGTTCCCACAACCTGATGCATCGCCCTCGGTCTGAGATTGTTGAGATGATATATGATACAACATCGTAACAGGAGCGTAACATATTGTCTTAGCGATTAACTCCAGCCGGCTCAATGTAAGTACAGTGTGGGCATGCAGTCATATTTCAAAGAGAGAGCAGAGAAGAAGACAAGCGGGGCAGAGACAAGCGGTAGCGAGATGCAGCGAGGTATAAAACGAGAGCAATGGGCCGGCCTCGGTGTGTCACCTAAATTCTCCTCTAATGAATAGTCCATTGATTTCCATTAGGGCTAGCTGGAGCTGACCACTCCGGCCTGTCTGTTTCCCATTAGCGCACTTTAAAAACTGAGGCTGACAAACAGTCATAGCCACAGGCGGGACCAGATGAGGGGCCCCCATTCAGCGTTTAAAAGAAACCTGTGAATTCATCCATGAAGCTGCATGGGGCCAGGAAGAAGATTGAGTTAACAGCAGAAATAATGTGAGCTTTAAATACCAGTCTCTGAGCACAATCTGCAAATAGTCTCCTTTTTCCCACCTTGATAAGAGGTATAGTAAAAGTCCATGACTGTCAAGATAACGTCACCTGGAAATTCTTGATTTGCATTTGAATAGGCAGGATTACCACATCTCGCTTGCAGGTTTAATTATCTTCTTTAAATAAAAGGGACAGAAAGACTAACATATTAAATTACCTGTTGAGATTGACCTTTTATAGCAGGATGGAGTGTCAGTGCAGAGCAGCTTTTAAACAGCTTCCGGTCGTCATTGTATCGACCAGGGAGTCCATTGCAGCCCCACTCTCCCTCCCCCTGAGGCCTGGCCTGTTTCTCAGCTCAGGAGTTTTAGAGCCATCCAGCCTTATCAGCTCCACCTCTCTATCAGCCCGCTTCCTTCATTAACATTAATAGGATTTGGATCTATTATGCAACGAGCCTCCGCACAGTTACGCAACGCAGAGTCTTCAGCAGCAGCAGCAGCACTCTTTGGAGGGAAGCAGTTACATCTTAGATTTATGGTGTGGGTTTTCATTCACTCAGACAGGGAGAGGAGGGGTTTTCAATATGGGCCAGCACATGACCCCACACTGAGGTCAGAGACTTTAATATTGAGCCTCAATAAACAGAGGCACTAAAGAAATTAAATAACAAACATGCAGCATGTAAATTACCAGCTATAGGCCTAAAGAAGAGACTATAGCCAAGCTCGCAGCTCTGAGGTTGGACTTAGGCAGCGCAGAGTTTCACATTCATCTGCTGAAAGTGGAAAGCTTCTCTGTGCTCACTAAAAATCTGCTTTTAAGGGTCTTTGTGACATCCTGGTCCAGTAGGCAACTTGTGATGTAGAAAATTGAAGACAACAGTGCACACACACTGAGAATAGACTTTACAGTGAAGTAGAAGACATTTTGTGTCCAGCAGGAAAACTTTAGAAATGAACAAAATTAGCATATTCATACATTCTTAATTTTTTTATGAGGTAGAAGGAGTAGATCAGACACACATTATTGTTCCAAACAGACTCAGTAAAGGATGACCAAAGTTATTACAATTAATTCTTTGAACGTCATGAACGTCTGAACCGAATTCTATGTCAAACCATCCAATAGTCTGAATTATTTCATCCAAAATTACTAATGTCGACCTCATGGTGGTGCTAGAGGAAAAGTCAGGGGATCACCAAAGTAGTTTGGATTCATCACCTGGAAGCCATGAACGTCTCCACCAATATTCATAGCAATCCATTTAACAGAAATTTAATCCTGGACTAAAGTGGTGAGCTGACCAACTTCTCCCAGGAGTGACGATATCGATGATTCCTCGGCGGGGCTGAAATCAATCTGCTCTTTTAAACTCATCAATAACAACTGTCCGCCAGCTGCAACACTACCTGGCCTGAACGGTCGATTACAATAAGGATGGGAGTACAGAGAGCTTAGTCTAGGTTTGACAGATTGTGATAGCGTCAATCATGTATTCATGAATAGAAATGTTTAACAAACTTATGGACATAAAATGATGATGCTTCAGAGTTGCCAATTGCTGCACGTTGTCATGGAAACAGCAAAGTGGCACACACAAGACAGTTCATTTTGTGTTTTTTCTTCCCGGAGTAACTTCCTGCTTTGCTGGAGGAGCTATTTTTAAACGGGTGTTATATAAGATGCAACTCTTGTGCTCAATACAATGTGTTATTTTCCCTCTGTTTTATTCCTCTTCATACTCTTGACTGTGATTTCCCGTACCTGTATCCCATGTAGCTCATGACTCACTCAGGAAGCTTCACACGCTGTCAGCATTAATGGAAAACAAAATTACTAATTTATAATCATCATCATTCTGTAGGAACTGCTCAAGCACAAGGGATCATCTTTGATCATTCATCATCACTCTGGATTTGTGAAAAATGAAAAAGGAGAAAGATGAAAATATGTCCAAGGTGTGCAGGCTAATCTTGGCTTCTTTCAGTTTCTCATTGTCATTTGCATTGGATTTTAAATTCCCCCGAAAACAAGAATAAATGAAGCAAAACATCTTCGTCTTATTCTCACTTTCATCTGCAAGAGTAACACCATCTGACAGCAAAGACATCTTCATTCTTTTTGAAATATCACTTCTCTGATGCCCTAGAAAATAAATGGCTAGTCATTTATTTTGAAATAATTTATTTAGGATTACATCATGAGTTATTCATGCAATCTGTTCATAAGAAATAAAAAAAGAAAACTTTTGAAATGTTTCTTTAAAGACAAAAGGGAGATAGAGTAGTTTTTTGGAACAGGATGTGAGCATGTAGCACAGTTTACATGTAATATTCAGCACTCCCAGCTGAGCTCAAAGTGAACGCACACTAACTGTGAAAGAGGCTATGATTAGCCGCTCGACATGCCTGACAGGGAGAAGTGTTGTTCTCCTCTTGTAGACTCGGAGAGACGAGCGTGACAGTATGAACATCCACGCAGGTTTCTGCATGAGTAACGGTTAAACAGCAGTGGACAAAAGGCCGTCAAGTGTTGCAGTGAGTGTCATCACCAGAGGTGATTAAGCCACTTCATGAGGTGGCATCTTGCAACAGTTTGCTCTGTTCGCTCCAGTTCGGTTTAACGCGTACATTTGATTTGCAATTGGGCCTGAACACCATTTGTGCGCTTTCAGATCTAAACTGGATTTGTTGCTCTTTTATTTTGCCTTTCTTCCATTCCACATTTCTCTCCTCTGTCCCTGAAGTCAGAGTCCTGGTCGGACCCGCTGTAAATCACGTACTGTATCAAACTGGAACCGAAAAAATAAACCTGCTCTCTCTCTGTCTCCCTCTGCAGGATGCTTCGAGTGCTGCATCAAGTGTCTGGGCGGGGTGCCCTACGCCTCCCTGGTGGCTACCATCCTCTGCTTTTCAGGCGTGGCTTTGTTCTGCGGCTGCGGCCACGTGGCACTGACCGGCACCCTGACCATGCTGGAGAACCACTTCTCCAGGGTCACCAGCGACCACGCCACCCTCGCCATGGTGTAAGTTCTCAGTGTTCAGTTGCTTGACTACAGGAGGCATTGCACAAAATCTGTCTTTATCAATGAAATCAAGCACAAAAACACATGATGGAATGCTTCACAGTAAGTTTCAGAAGGAGCGTGGTTAAAGCTTAATCATTGATGAGATCTTGGCAGCATTAATGGTTTCAGTAGAAACAACAGTATACTGGTGCTACCCCTGTAGTTATTAAATCTGTCGACTACAGCCACCCACATAATCTGCCATGATTCAGAATCCCCTTAAACTTGCAAGTGTCTCTTAACTTAAGTCAGTGAGCATAAATAGGTCTATAAATATTCTGAAAAAAGAAAATAATAGTAGGAGGCATGTCATCAGTCAAAGAGATTTCAAAAAGGCGTATTTCTGGTCCATTTCTTTCAAAATGAATGGTGCTGTCACAGATCTTTTACATAAATGGTTCTTACTGCCCTTCATAGTTGCATATTGTAGATGCAGCTTTAAAAGCCCTGTGTTACTGGTGGGATTTTTACCATTGTGATTTATTTTCTGTGTGTGTTCAGGATCCAGATCTTTCAATACATTATCTACGGCATTGCCTCTTTCTTCTTCGTCTACGCCATCATCCTGCTGGCTGAGGGCTTTTACACCACCAGCGCCATCAAGAAGGAGCTGCAGAGTGACTTCAAGACTACCGTCTGTGGACGCTGTATCACTGCCTTCGTATGTCAACACACACACACATGCACACAAACATAAGCAGCTGCTTCAAATCATCACACCCACTGACCCAATTACACTCCAAATTAAAGCCTGTAAATGAGATTGAATTACTTTAATGTGTATTTTAGAATGTTCTTGCTTGAAATAGTCTTCACACCAAACACAAAAACAGTCACTCATAATGCTTTACAAGCCAGGACAAGGGTCATCATGAAAGTGTTGCAGAGGCACAGTCACACACCTCTGCTACACATTTATGGACACACACACACACACACACACACACACAGAAAGACAGATACGCAAGCACCGACACACACACAAACACTCGAGGCCTTGAGGGTAGCTCTGGCACAGTTTGTCCTTTCTAGCCTGATTACTCTAATTGCTGCAGATGTCCAGTAACATTAGCTTAAACACAGACTCTGAGTGTGTGTGTGTGTGTGTGTGTGTGTGTGTGTGTGTGTGTGTGTGTGTGTGTGTGTGTGTGTGTGTGTGTGTGTGTGCAGCTCTTTAAGGAATAATATTAACCTATTTTCTTTAATGCAACTCAAACTTTGGCACAAAAAAAAAAAAAAGAGAAATTGAAAAATCTCCTTTCTTTTCACCGCAGTTCATGTTCCTGACCTACATCCTCGCTCTGGTCTTCCTCACCATCTTCGGCTTCACAGCGATACCAGTTTTCCTCTTCTTCAACATGTGGAATACCTGTGCTGCCATGAGGTCTCCTGATGCCAACATTACCTCGCCCGACTCCATCTGTGTGGACGTCCGGCAGTACGGTAAGCTGTCCCCCCTACATTACACTACAATCTTTTATGTTGTTTATGGTTTGTGACATTCAGTGCATCATTTAACATCCTGATTTCCTTTGTTAGTGATTTCTCATGGTAATGTTTGGCAAAAACATAACAAGGGGTGTTTTTTCCAGTGTATAAATTAACAACTGTCACAGTTTTCAATAAGGTTCATGAATTTCATCCACTACCACCTTTAATTGAATCGTAAGTAGAAATATCTCAAGCATAACGTCATGGTGAGAAACCCATGGAATCATGAGCTGTTTCTGAAACAATGATTCAGTATGACAGGGCGGATTATTCCCTTAGTGCCATTAAGCGCTTGTTATTTTATTCTAAACCATTGCTATGAAGATTGACAGCCTCTAAGCAGAGTTCCTCAGCTCATCCTCGTCTCATCGAGGCCAGCGTGTCCTTTATGTTTCTGCTCCAGCTCTGTTTCTGCACACCTGATCTAATTAAGGATGACACATTTTCATTACAGTTTAATTGGATCAGGTGTGCAGGAGCAGAACTTGGAGGGCAGGTGGGCCTTGATAACTGGGTTCATAAAATCACAGTTTTACTGTAAAAGGCTCCATGTCCTACTTCAGTATCATCAACTTTATTGATTTCTTTATCTTCAAAACCAAAGAGGTATCAGTTTTATGCTAGCAACAGGGTTTATGGGAAGTGTGCTGCGTGTAAACTGAACTGATTAAAACAAAAATGTATCTGTTCCCTTTTCAGCCAACCACACAATGCTGAAATTTACACCTCACTGGTCAGTTTAGAGCTAGACTCCAGTGACCAGAGCATCAGCTGAATACACAAAACAATGCCTTTACTGTTTGCTAATGAAGCTTTGTATAAAGTCGGCTGCCAAAATATAATTATAAAATAGCAACAAAAAAAACATATTCATATGCAACATATCCCCCCAGGTATTTTGATTTGCAGCTGAAGTAAAAAGGATCCGACTGCATGCTGTTTTATGTGTTTTCAAAGTTTAAGAGAAGTTCCCCTGATCAAGGGGCCGGCTAGTCTCAGCAATAAAAGCTTTTTACTGTAGAACATCCTGGTGCTTCTCCCACTGTTTTTACACATACATCCCAGGCTTTAACCTGCAGGATAGCAAACTACAGAAAGAACGTTTTGCAAACTAAAGTTAAAACATTACAACTGCTGGCCTCATGTCTGTACAGTTAGCTAATATTAGTCATCATAAGCTACAGTGCTGCTCATATGTGAACAAGCACAGGCTGTAGCACTCAGTGTATTGAATTGATCACATAATCTTGCTTGAGTTAATGTAAAAATACACCCATTATACATTACAACAGAAATGATTCACTCAGTCCTTATGTATATCACATATTTATCTGCAGCTCTGGTTTGCTTTAGATGTCCTTTTCTATACCGGAAGGGGTCAAAAATACATTTAGATTATTGAGAGTCTGGTTGGATCTCTATGAAAACCCACCTTCCTGCAGTATTACAGCGCAGTAACGCTCTCCTGTGATTGCCTATCTGTTTGATGGCCTAATGTACAGTATGTGACCCACATTTGAAGGACAGCTGGCCTGCTTGCAAAGTAGGATGAGGATCACATATGCTTCATTGGCATTCATCGTATTAAACTGTATGAAATATTAACCCTGAATTACTGGCAGACATAAAATTATCATCAGCAGTTCAAGAGTTGATGAGTGAAAGGTTTTGGTGAGCATTCAAATCTTCTTATAATGTCAATGAAAAGAAGAATAAGTAAGGAATATAACATATAATAAGCTTATGCTAGCCTAAAATGTTTTTACAGTAAAGAAATAAATCAAAATATTGACCTATATTTTTCCGGTAGGAGAGGCTCAGAGGCCCGGACAGCAGCAGCCCTCTTTCCTCTAATCTTTATCCGAGCCTAATTCATAATGCCTTCAATCATACAGTCTCGGGGGAGGAAAAAGCTTCTTGTCTCAGATGAGAAAGCGGCAGTCCTGTGATGTTTCATCTCTCTGATCCTGTAGGTATTATTTCCTGGAACGCCACACCGGGAAAAGCTTGTGGAGCCACACTGGGAGACATTTGTAACACCAGCGAGGTGAGAGGACGCTGACCTGACCTTTTCTTTTCTACTTTATCTTTTCCTTCCCTTTCCCCCCGCACTAATTACCTCTTTTCATCCGTAGTTCTACCTGTCCTACCACCTCTACATCGTTGCGTTTGCCGGCGCCGGTGCCACGGTCATCGCATTGGTAAGCTGCTCGTGATCCCACCGATAATGTGCTGCTCAAAATATGCACGTTGCCATGGCGTGCTTATCTGTTGCCATAGCAACCCTGCCTCTCACGTTTATCAGGATGTCGCCCTGTGGGTTGAAATTCGAGCCTGCAGCCTGCCTCTGCTGCGTGAGCGTGTGTGTAGACAGGGTCAGTGTTTTACTCTGCTGTGGAGGCGGATTGTTTTGTTTTATGTCCAGGGAAAAGGAGATACTAAAAAAAAAAACGATAAGTACCTCTCCAGATGTTATGTTGGGTCAGCTGAAAGCCCTCTGCACTGTGATGTTTTCCAGCTTACTTTTCTGGGTGGTAGAAGGAAATACAGAGGATGAAATAAGCATCTGAGCAAAAGGAGTATGCTTATTCCTGATGGGGTACAATTATATAATTTGACTGTTGCTACATTGGCCATCAGCATATCATTAAGAAGATCTGGCACCATTAAATGCTCATTTAAACGTTTTATTTGATTGTTCTGAGAGTGGTTTTCTCAGATGATTTTCCTTTAATTTAATAACTACTTTTCCAATATTTGAGCAGTCGTTAACATTTATTCATCCAATAACTACTACTTCAATGTTGCTGTAATCAAACCCTGAACAATGTTACACAACAGCCTTTGAGATGCTGGATATTCACTGATTTGGCAGGTTTTTATGCCCAACAAAGACTACCAGGTGATTTCACTGATGATTACTAATTAGTGGAACCGCTGGCTGCAATGAAAACCTCCTTACTCTCGACACTATTGTAGTTCTGAGCAGGTTTTTAAATTAAAGCTCTGGCCACACTGGAAAAGTGACAATAGTAAGTATACAGTATACTAAACACACTTGATTTTTGTACACTGTCCCACAATGCAATGCACAAAGAGAATGGAGGAGCTACTCACAGCTGTAAAACATTAGAACATTTTGTGGTTAGTGGTGAAAGAGCTTTGAAAATGAATGTGTTCTTGGAATAAAAATGACACTTTCTATGTGTTTACATGTCGAGTTGCACGCTGTGTCCTAATTCCACACTACACATGAACTGTGTACAGTAGATACTATATGTTGATCATTATGAAATCAACATACTAACAGGAACACAACACGTGCAGACTTCAATTAAACCTTTAACGGAGTTAAATTAAATAATGAATCAAAATGGTTTTCCAAATATTTTATAGTTTAATTTCTGGAGCGTCTTCACCACCATCCACAATTGGTTCTAATTTGTTTCAGCTGTTAACAGCTCTATTTCCTCATTTGTATTGCATTGTGCAGTCCTCCACTGCACTTTATTCCCTGTCCTCAAAGTAAATCAAGGAAACATCTCGGTTTCTCCTCAGATCCACTACCTGATGATTTTGTCGGCCAACTGGGCCTACCTGAAGAGTGCCGTCTCCACGCACGAGTACCAGGACATCAAGACCAAGGACGACCAGGATCTGGAGGCTGAGGCGCGCTCCAAGGAGGGCCAGAACTCCTCCTCCTACTCATAAGGACAAGAGATCCTCTCCCGCCACCACCACCCATCTCCTCTCCACACCTCAACCCCCCCACCCTGCAACACCCAGCGCCCACCCCTCCCTACGATAAAAACAAACCACCTCGGTCATGTTTTATAGTCCCCCAGCCTCCTGATTCTCCATCCTCTTCCCCTCCACGATGTTTATTAAGAGCTGTGGGCTCACACCAGAGGGGAAGAGAATAGAGGATCAGGAGAAGCGGCAGGCCCAGACGGAGGCAGATGCTTCAGAACGGGAGAGCTCTCCCGCCGGGGTCGAGCTCAGGTACGATACATCAGTTCAGAAGCGTCTCCTCCCCCGTGCTTTTGGGCGGCGACTCGTGAACGTGGCCCGGCTGTGATGGCCTCGCGCCCTGAGCCAACACAGCCTCTCAACACACAGATCCTAACAGCCTAAAAAAACATTGTTCACTGTCTGCTTCAGCCACAGGGAAGCCAGGCAGCGACCAACTTCCTCCGTTTTTTTTGGTGTTTTATATGCATATATATATGAATATGAATATATTGTGCGAATGTGTACGAATGTTGTTGTTTTTTTTAATACTCTCTGAAAAGTATGCCAGGTACTATTATGATCTTTCTTCTTCTTCTTTATGTTTTTGCGCTCACAGGTTTTTTTCTCCTTTACTTTCTCCTCCATCTTAAACTTTTTATTGCTAATGCTCGATACGTTGTTGCACTATTACGAAACAAAAAATTGGGGAGAACTGAAATCCCTTGGAAAAAAAAAAAACAAAGCACCCCGGCCCCCCCGCCCCCTCGCTCATAGAAATACCTAAAAGACTCAAATCATGTGGTATCTCAAGGATTATTAGTGCATTTACATGACCAGAGTTTATTTATCCGCCAAGGTATTAACCATTCATTTAAGACCAGAGGAGGTGTAGCAAACTTTTATAAAAGGATTAGTTTTGGGAAATGCGCTTATTCGCTTTCTTGCCGAGAGATGAGAAGATTGAGACCAATTTCATGTTTGTACGTAAAATATCGAGCCAACGCCAACAGCCAGTTAGCTTAGCTTAGCATAAAGACTGGAGGCGGGTAAACAGCTAGCCTGGCTCAGCACAAAAGGAATCAAATTTCAATATAAAGTCTCAATCTTCTCATCTAACTCTCAGCGAGAAAGCGGATAAGCGTATTTCCCAAAAAAAACGTCAGACTATTCCTTGTAAGACCTTTTTTCAGTTTTTGCTACACTCATCACCAGCGGCAGCAGAAATCAAAATCTGTCTGGGTTTTTTAACACAGAAAAAAAAAGACACACACCTCAGGTATCAAACCAAATCTGATTTTAGCCAGTTGTGTTCTTTTCCAAAGCTTCACCATCTAAACATTAAACCTTAGCCTACCGGATTGGTACACTGTCCTGTGTGAATTATACAGTAAAAACCAGTTCTGTCATTTTCTAAAAGTCCTCCTTTTGCCAATGAAGTTCACCTGTAAATAGCTGAATCACCCTAAAAGATCTCAATTAACACCTCTCCCAACACGGGGAGAACACAGTCAGTGTTTTGCCATACTCTTCTATTATTTTTTTCCACAGATATATGTAAATGTACCCTTTGAGATATGTGTTTAGCACTCAAATACTAGTTCTGCATTTGATATAATAATTGTAATGTAACATCTTTAAATGATATGTCGTGAGAGGGATACAGTGCAGTCATGATATGATATGATGGATTGAGGTGCTTGTGACGTATACATTTTAAAATGTGAAAAAAAAATATGGAAATTGATTTTTGATGTTTTATCAGTTTTAGGCAGCTGAGTTCTTCTTGTGATTCAGTAATAATGATTTTATTGAACTTGTTTGTGCTTATTTTTCGATGGCCAGCCAAATGAGTGACTCATCAACATGTGAGTTGAGAAAAAAAGTCACTTATTTTTTTTTTTTTTTCCTTTTGGTTTTATTTTGAACGTCATGCCTCTCATATGAGCCACAGAGACTGTTTTGGATGTTTACACTCTGAATAAAAACAAGTCAGGAATTTTCATACATTAATTTTATAATCAGATATTCTTTAATAATCATGAACTATATTCTATATTGATCATCACTGGTTAGTTTACCCTAAAAGAAAAAAAAAAAACACTGAAGAAGACAAATTTTTGAACTTTGATGAGATGAAGCATGTCAGTATCGTCCATGTGTGCAGCTGTCTATTCTGTATAAAAAAGGACTATATTGCCATGTGTGTTATGTTTGATAAATATACGTGCTTTGCTGGCAGGTTGATGTAAAGACAAACTTCAATTTCCTATAAGACGATGCGTGTCAGGGTGTTGTTGTTTCCTCGTTATTTGCATGAAGGAGACATGACTGTGTCTTTGCAGTTTTTCAGGTGATGTGTAGTCAATTGTACTGACAACTATGGTAGGCGGTGTTTGCCCCCCTCCTCCACACTTCCCCCGCCCCTTTCCACCTACTCTTTTCTAAAGAAAACTCCATTGTACTTTGATGGCATTGTAGTCCCTGTAGGTGTTTCATTATGGTTTTATTTTTTAAGTTGGAAATAGTTCTATGACTCCTATATAGTGATGATTTTTGTAACCTTCTCTAGTAAAACCGATATTTTTTATTATCGTGACACCGTTGTCGCCTGTCTCGTTCTTGTGTTTGGGTCTCTTGAATTTCTGTTTATGGAAACAAACCCGTATTTAAAAATCAAAGTGAAAGCATACAAGGCATTGCTTTAGAACTGGAACTAGTGAATAGTTGTATCTGAATTACATACAAAGTGTTTGGGCTATAAAAGCATCAAAAAACAGTGAAAAATGCCCATTAATATAGTCAAAAATTTAAATATATTCAATTTAGTAATGTAAGACAGTGAAAATCATCAATTCCTTACATGCAAGAAGTTGGAAACATCATGTTTGGCATTTCTGCTTAAAAAATTGACTTAAATTAATGATTCTCAACATATTTGCAGATTCATTTTCCATCAACTGACTTGAAGTTGTATTGCTGTAGCTCTAACAAATAAAAAAGTTAGAAAAATCCTCCATGTTTCTGAGGTCGGCCGCGTTTGGCCTCTGCAATTAAGAAGTAACTTGCAACAGGTGATGTTAATTGATTAAATTAGACACCGCCTGTGTCAACACTTAATATACAAATATCTCACTTCCCAGGAAAAGTGATGTTGGTTTATTAAAGTCAGTAGAAGTTGTCAGATGGCTTTATTCATTTCTTTCTATGGAGATATGAAATGAGAAATAATGATGTCGTCTTAAATGACTGCAGACTGGACTTCTCTGAGGAAGTTTAAACATGCTCCACGTCCACAGTACACCCACACAGCTGATTCCACTCTCTACCTTTCATCTGAACTATGTGGGCAGACTCTTTCTGATTGACATCTCCCTCATTCTCCCCTCAATTATGTTGCTCTTTTATGTAAAGAGTATATATATATATAGTCCACATTATTCAAAGAAAAGCTCAACATTGCCACTAAGTGAAGACACCTGTGTGGGTGTGCAGGGCCTTTGATCAGTACCTAATGCTGGAATTCAACATCTCTCTTTATAGGACAGGAATTAACATTTGAGAAGGAAATTACCAGCGTTACTATGAAGCCACAAACTGGGCGTTTATCTCTCAAACTGTTGATATGTGGCGCAACCTTGTGGACAAAGAGGGTACTATACCTAAAAGCACAAGAGAAACACTAAATCCCCTCATGGTATCACTGGTATTACCAATATTCAAATTAATAACATTTTACATCTCTGGTTTGGCAGAACACAAAATATAAAAATTACTTTTAAAAATGATAAAATCTAGTTTGTGTGATTTAACCTATAAAATCTGCAGTAGTGAATCTGATTACTTTTCTTACCAGAGAGACAGTGGCATTGACTACATTTAGTTCTTATTTATAATTTAATTGACGACATACATTTTATTCTGTATGTCAACAGTTTGAGTTATAGATGGAAGTATTTGGGGTTTGTAAACCTCTAATAACTGCAAATATATTATGCACATAGTTTAATTAAAAAAAAACATTTAAAAGCACTTATAACATTGGTAACTTAGATTTAGTTGCTTTCTAATGATGGTTTCTTTATTAAGAGACCAGAAAATCATTTGGGGAGTGTTAGTAGCTTTCAATCTAGTATTTAAAATTCTGGGTGAGGGGATTACTGGAACGTTTTATGGACAGGAATCAGCAATAAATCACTTTAACACAACCAATATTTTCACTGTAAACGTGGTTGTATGTTTCTGAGAGTCCTGCATCTGCTTCTGGAGGAGGAACATAATCTCTGGACTTCTCTTTTCGTGGGCTAAAATGTCAAACCACAGCTGCATCAGTGACGTCAAACCTTTAGTTTAACCTTGTTTAGAGAACTGTTACTGCTTTAGGTGACATAGTTTAGCTTTTATTAAAGAATCCCTCCTTAAAGGTGTTTCCTTTCAGCCAGTTATATATTCATCTCTGATTCAACTGAGGTTTATCACTGACCACAAATGAATCCATAAAACCTGCAAAGACAAACTGTATCAGAGATTTATTTTTATTAAATGTCCATCAATGCTTTGTATAAATTGATAACCATGCAAATACAGTCTGAATCAGAGTTGGGAATGGTGTGTGGAGACTTTTGTGTCCCTCATGTGGTGAAAATGCAAAATATTGGCACAAAATAGTCCGTTCTGGTCTAAAAAATATCAATATTTGTTTTCAAATGCAGGTCCCAGTCAAAAGTTTATCTGAGGACATCACATACGGTAGTCACTGAACAAACACCACTTCCTCTTTTACAGAGTCATAACCCACGCTCCATACACTCAACTGCAGGAGCATCACATGAGCTCCTGCTGGCAGTCACACTGAGCGCTCAGCAGCAGGAGGGGTCAGGGGGAGTCTTCCTCTGCAGGTCCACTGTGTTGGTGTGGATCAGGTGATCGGCTCGGTCGTCCAACGCCAGAATGCGGCGTACAGCCTCCTCAAAGGCCGATGCTACGTTTGTAGCATCCTTGGCGCTCGTCTCAAAGTACGGGTGGCCGCCGTTCTCGCGGCACCACTGTCGCGCATCCTCCCCCGAAACCTGACGCTCGGGCACGTCCAGTTTGTTGCCCAGCACCACAAAGGGGAAGTTGTCGGGGTCCTTCACGTCAGCGTAGTAAGTGAACTCCTTCTTCCAGTTGGACAGGTTGTGGAAGCTCTGTCCGTCGTCCACGCTGAAGGTGAGCAGGCAGCAGTCAGAGCCGCGGTAGAAAGGCGTGCGGAGGCTGCGGAAGCGCTCCTGACCCGCCGTGTCCCAGATCTGCAGAGTGACGTGGTGGCCGTCCACCTCCAGCTCCTTGTTCAGAAACTCCACGCCAATGGTGTGGAAGAGGTGCGAGTCAAACTTGTTGGTGACGTAGCGGTTCATGAGCGATGATTTGCCGACGCCGCCGTCGCCCAGGAGGATCACCTTCAGGAGAGCTGACTTGGACGTCATGGCTGCAGAGAACCGGGTCAAAGTTTGGTCTTGCTGGTCTGAGGTCTGGAGACAGCAACAATGGAGACAGTAACACCTGAGGAGCACAAGAAAGCAAAACAAGAGTAATTTTAGTTGCAGCCTTACTCAAGTCTTATAAAAAAAGATATTTATAACTTATGTTACTTTAAGCTAAGCTGAACCTTTTTTTGTTTTAATTAATTAATAATTAGTCTACAAATCTTTCAGAAAATGTGTGTGTCTGTGGATAGTGGAGGTCTGCATACTAATACCTTTCACAGTATGAACGCATGAAGGAGCAGAGGTAATAATTGACTTTACCCGCACACAGTGTCTAACTGGTCGGTCTTTATGCCTGCTAACGCGACAGGATAACAACCGAGTTATCCCTCCATTTTGTTCAGGAGTGGCTCTGATTTTTAACCTTTGGCTTCTCTGATAAGATCGTGCTTAAGAACAAACAAACTGCTCCTCAATCAACTTTCACTTCCTGTAAGCAACTCATTGTGACTGTTTCCTTCACACTCTGAGAACTAATTAAAGTCAGTTGACTAGCTAATCCTATTAAACAGCCACAGCCCACTCATTACACTTTACAGCTAATGAACTTCCTACACTGTGGGTAATATGTTATGCATGAAATGATCTGTGCTGTACGTCACATGGACGCCGATCACAGGACCAGTGAGTCGCCCCCAAGTGATTGCAATTCAACATGGTCAACAACAGAGGGAAGATTTTAGGCCAATTTCTCACCGTTATTTCAGCACGCAGATGCCATTTTATCAACAATCTGTAGGAGAGAGAAAGAGAGAGAGTATTTAACTTCACACAGATCAAGTGGCCGAAGGAGTTCACCCACTCACAGGCTCGGCTGCAAAGAAAAGTGAGGATTTAAGCAGAAATTTAATCACGTACCACACACACTTCGTACTTAACATACCAGTTCAGGCTAAATAGCAGTCATTCCACCCACATACCAGAGCAAATCTGAGATGAAGGTGGGAAATCTCCCCAAGAGCAGGTTTAAATAGGAGACGAGGAGGAGCTTTGTTAAGTGACCAAGATCATCTCATCCATCGCAGTTAAGATGGACACTGATCCATCACCGGCTGTGTGTTAAAGGAATACTCTACCAAAAATCTATTGAGTGTAAAATACTCTTGAATTGTTCCAAATACTCACAGTTTCTCCACAACAACATGTCTCTTGTTACGCTACAAGCCTACAGTGGGTGATTATATAATACTCCAAATATAGATTCTTGGTGGAGTATTTTTAAACCTATTGAATTTGTTACTTAAAGTTAAACTTAGTATCACGTTTTATTTTGAAGGGTCTCAAGGGTACATGTAAGTACGGCTACAACAACCAGGAGATAATATTCTGCTGTTTACCATGTTGATGAATTGTCTATAAAATGTACGAAAAAAATGCAAATTATGATAATTAGGTGTGTTCAAATGACTTGTTTTATCCGACCATCAATCATCCATCCGTCACAAATCACAAATAAAAACATGAACTCGTCCCATTTAGAAGCTGGAACCAGAGAACATTTGGCATTTTTACTTGAAAAATAAACCAAACGATTAATCGACAATCAGAATTTGACAATTTCGAGTATCGACTGATTACGTAAAGACTTGAGGAACAAGCTGCAGCTAAAACAACCTTGAACATTATCCTTCTCTGAAGTGTGCAAATTGTCTCATCACACGCACTAACACGTGACAGCAGCGGTATGACATTAGGATTATCTACACATAATTATCATTATTCTAATGTGCTTTATGTGTCTCTTTTTCAGTTTTTGATATGTAGTTTATGTAGATTAATTAATTAATTAACCAACACTTTTTTTTTAATAGTTGGTAAATGAGTTGTTATATTAATCAACTAACCAAATAATATTAGTTTGATTAATCGATTAATAATTAGGTGCAGCCCTAGCTCTAGTTGTACTACTTATGAAATATTGTGCAGTAAATAAAGACATAAAATGTAAGACCATGACTGCCAGTTTAATATGTCATTCAACAGTCTAATTTGTGTAATACCCCTACTACTGTCCAATGTAAACGCAGTCTGCAGCCAGTTAGGACCAAATTGACCAAATCCGTTGCTTGTTAGGAAACGTTAGGCTACTTTGCAAAGTAAATACATGAATGAAGTTCAACTCAGCTGTGTGCTGAAGGAACTATAGGCTGCACTGTTACACAAACTGGCAGCAATAAGCACCCCAAAGGGCCAAGACTGGAGGTCATGATGCATTTATCCTGGGGGACACGATGTCTTCGTCCTGGGACTTTAAACTCAGACTGCTGCTCCTGTAATTTCAATCTGGAGAAATATTAACTTTTTTTTTTTAACAGCAGTGATGCAGTAGGAGCAGGAATGAATGGCCACACATACAGTCACACACACACACACACACACACAGTCACACACACAGGAGTCATGTGCTCCATTCAGCAGAATGCTACTATTTTAAGAGAAGGCTGCTGTCTGGGATATTTCCAATAAAGTAATGAATACTTCCTCCAAACAACCAACCACATGGTTTTATTTAAACCTACAAAATATAATAATATCTACATAAATGTATTTTTTTGTGTAAAATTCAGATTAAGAGCCAATATGCGAAATCAGCAGGGTAATAATTAGCTCATTCAGATGCAGCAGAGTGAGCCAGTAACGTACTTCCTATCAATAAATGGGATTTAAAGCAGCAACAACATGGGAGAGCAGCTGCGAGGAGAGAAAGCAGTCGGAAACAGCATTTTACAGTTCATAGTTAAGTTAGCAAACATTCGGGTACCAATACAGACAACATTTACACTTCAAAATGATAATTACAGCGTTGTTTGAGGTGCAACATCACATTTTTGCGGTTTCTAGCTATCAAACCCCCATTATGCCCATTTTCGGACACGAGCCGGGGCGCAGTTAATGTTTTTGTTATTCTTCTTTCCCCAACACTTGAGTGCCTTTCACCACATTTGTTTAAACTGTTCAGATGTGGGCAACAGCATGACATGGTGGTGGAAGATGCAACATAATAGTCAAAGCGTGACTCAAGTTACTCTTAAAAAACCAGGAGATTCGCCAGACCGGCTTCAGTTTGCGAGCAGAAATTAACTCAATGAAGTGTTTATCATCCCTAAACTAAACTACTCTGTCATCAATATATGTCCGAATATTGATTTATGCTTGTATTTAGTGGCTGTCAATATTCTAAGGGAGAAAAAAGCAAAGCAGCTGGGGGTTTGTCCGATAATGGAAGCTCCACCTTAAAACTGTAGCTGTCCGATAATGGGCGTGCTAACGGGGCACACACTCGCGACTTTACTGAGCGATTAAAAACGACACAAAGTGACATTTTTTGCTACTGAAATGTAAGATCTGCTATCTCAGTGACCGTACCTGTCGGTGTGGCGGTCACAGCCCGGCTGCTGCGGTTACATTCCCCTCATCCATCCCGGTTCGGTGCTGCTGTGAGCCGGTGACATGGCGCTCCGGAGTCCCCGCTACTCTCTGGCCTCGGAGCCGCTGATGACGCTCATATGACCCGGGAGTGTCACGCCTCCTCCCGTCATGCGCTTTGCTGAATGCGGTCGCCGCGTGCACGTTTTTATTATACTTTCCATCTTTCACGGAACATAGTCTCTCCGTCTGATCTATGTTGCACATGTTTCTGTTTATTAGATATGGAAAATACACGGACTTCATTTGATTAGTAAGGTCACTGGGTTAAAGCGCATGTGGGTTGGGACACACAAAGGTTTCTAAAAGAAGAATGAGAGGTCACAAGATGACTTAAGTTATAAGAAAGAAAAACCTATTACTGTTATACAAAATGATGTACATTTTTCCCTAACTTTTCTCATTTTGTTGCCTTTTTTATTTACCTACACCACTTCAGTAGACACAAATGTATTTTACAGGGTCACACAACAGGCCAACAATGTTGCAACCACTGGGTTAAAGAACCTGACAGCCTGCTGCAACCTCGGAAATGTAACCTACTGTGTATTGCAGAATTCCTTGTGCAGTGACACTGCATAAATGAGCAAAGGTGAGCAGAACTGATGCATTTCTGCAGGTCTGTCAGCCTCTTACAGTTGTTTAAAATTCCCCATAGGAGCACAAACCAACTCCAGCTTCTTACCTCTGTCTGCAGCATGTTTTGTCTGTTTGTATCTGCGCGTGTGTGCACGGGAGACGACTGCAGAGCACTGATATGACAGGCCACCATGACTGGAAGGTAAGATAAGATAGGGAGCATCTGAGAGGAGACGCAGCACAGGGAACAGTGCTGAGATACCAAGCAGCCATGTATCTCACTGACAAGATATTGCAGCTCCACATCAGGAGGGGGGGGGGGACTTTCCTTAGAGGGGATTTTTCCTTTGGACCTCCCCAAACTGTCCTTTTACAACCAACTGAGCCTTCTGCAAAGAACAGCAAAGTTGTGTTGAACCAGGAAATCTCAGCAAACATGAGGAACACTTGAAACAAAGTGAAAACAAATTTTAAAAGAATGATAAATTAAGTCTATTTTAAGCAGCTTTAGTTGCTGAAGCCGTCAATATGTTCAAACTGAAAGTGAAGCTTGATCCATGCAATAAAAGGTGTTTTGCACACTGCCAGTGATGATGATAGAACTTATTTGCCCCTGCTTGTCCATTGCTGTATTTTGTATGCTCTGATGGAGGTCAGACTCACCGAAAGCTTGCAAAATAAAGTGATATATTGCACAAATCCACAGTAAGTGTGTGGAAATCGTCACTTTCGAGAAGATAAAAGCTGAAATCCCGTCATGTTTTCCAATGAAAGGCATGTTTCAGTTCAGAAACTGAAAAGTTTTCTTTAAAAAAAGAGATATCCAGTAACATTAAGGACCTACGTTTACGTGACACAAAAGCAGAACTCACACACAGTATGACTAATGTGCACACAGTATTTACTGCGTGTATAATACAAAGGAGACTTCATTCTTTCTCCTAATTCATTTTTTTGGCATTCTGGGTAAAAAAAGCCAACAAATCAAAGAGCAGCATCACAGAAAAAGACAGATATTGATTGAAGACGGAATAAGACAAACAAATTGATTATAAAAGTGACTGATTTAAAAAATGTTCTGAATCTTTTCAGCCTGTACAGTAAAGGACCGCTGATGTGATGTCACAGTGACGTGTAATAAAGTCATTGTGCCACGTCGACTGAGTGAAGGACCATGGGATATCCACGCCTGGGGCCGCTCATGCAGATTACTGACTCACATGCTCACCGTTTTCTAGGGTCACATGTCTCATCCACTGGAGCCAGTATGCTAAATGAATGGGATATTGTAGGTAGCTAGAGGCATGTTTTCTTCTTCTTTTTTAAGGAATTTAATCACTCATAGCTCCTATGACTTACAATAAGTGCAACAGAACACACAAATTATTCATTAGTGAGGGCAAAGGTCAGGACTGTCGTGGTTTTACATTTCTTTGCCAACCAGAAAAGGTTCATGTGAGGAAGAGGAGCCATGAAAAGCAGTTCAATGAGCTGCTGTAAGTAGACAATCTGCAGGAGACGGGAAATGATTCAGCGGGAAGAAGATGACGAGAGCTACTTCTTGAAAAGTTGTGGTTTCAGTCTGCAGCTGCAATAGACAGTGACTCAACTTTTGGATAATGACACAGTGTTTTTTTAAGTTATGGATTTACTGGTGGATGCACTTTAAAATGCCAAACTCTGCATGCAAAATATCCTCAAAATGTCTAAACCACAAGTATGCTCTCCATCCTAGAAGAATGCTCTGTCCTTTGTTTCCACTTTCCTCTGACCGTTGCTCATGTTTCACTGCTGCAGGAAAGCATTTTCTCTTATTTTATTGGTTCTGATTTGGCATCTTTCAAGAAGCGTCTTCACCACAATGATTTTAACTCTTTCCAACTTGTTGTGAAAAGTTATACAAGTTTATGAATCCATAGAATCTTGAAATCTTTTGACTGAGGTGAAAACAGGAAACCACTAAAATGAGGCTGGTTTCACACAATGATTAACAACAGCAGAGCTGAACGTTTGATGGAGTAATTTCTGTCATTTTAAACGTTTTCATGTGTGCAGTACTGTCACTGCAGCAAAAAAAGAAAGAACCGTAGTCATAAAGTTGACAGGACAGAGAAACTCTCCAGAGGATTTATCAGGATGATCAGGCTGTTTGACTCTATTTCTCTAACTATTTCTCTGTATGAACCTGGACTGTGTGTGTGTGGCTATTTGGCCGTGTAGAAGAACATTCATTAACATTAGATCCTGACCAGGATAAACAATCAATGAACTTATGTGGATGCATTTAAGAGACATGAGATGCACCCAGGCTTTGTATTTAAAGATGCAAAGTAGTTTGGGGACATTGGTCTGATAAGCACCATAATAAACTAGCTGTCCAATAATAGGCAATAGACCATTTTACCACTTAAATTTCAGTTTTTCAATCTCAGTAACTGTACCTGTCGGTGTGGCGGTCACAGTCCGGCTGCTGCAGTTAAACTCCCCTCATCCATCCCGGCAAGGTGCTGCTGTCAGGAGTCCCCGATGGAGCTGCTCTTTGGTAGCCACACACAGTGTCACACTTCCTCCCACTTTACTGGATGCGGTCAGTGCATCCACATTTTATTATACTTTCTATCATTTTCATCAGTGGCCCCTTCGTCTGTCCTATTGTACATGTAACACCAATCACATTTTCCTGTTTTTACACATGGACTTAATTTGATTGCGAAGGTCACTGGTTTAACGCCTTGGTCCCTAACACTGGGGGTTTAGGGGTTCTTAAAGAAATATGACAGTCTCAGGATGACTAAAGAAATAAATAACATATTACTGTTGCACAAGTCTCTTAAAGTTGTTTTTGTTTTTAACCAAAATGTGTCATTTTTTAATTGAAAAATGAAAATGCTTTGCTGATTAATTTACAGCTGATCGACTAATTGATTGATCAATAGTTGACTAATTGTTTCAGCTAGAAGCAGAGGTGGCAAAGGTACAGACCTTCTTTATTCAAGTAGAAGTGTAGATACTTGTGTTAAATAAAAGACTCCGGTAAAAGTAGAAATACTGATTAAACTTATTTACTCAAGTAAAAGTGAAAAAGTACACGGATTTACACAAAGTATAAAGGTAGACTGTTGGTTTCTCTGAAGGCCATTTGTACCGGCTGTTTCTGTGCAAAGCTAACTGAAAATCTAAGGAGTAGAAAGCTCAGATGTGTGTAAAAGTAAAAGGTTATCAGACAACAGTAATAAAGTATTTGTACTTTGTTACTTCCCACCTCTGTATGGAAGCAATATGAAACCATTAATCTGGATTTAGAGGCAGACCCAGCCACTGTGGTACCACTGCTGTCCACACCTGCTGCAGGTCACAAAAGTCATCGCGTCCTCATCAGGGCCGCCCTGCCTCACCCACGCGGGCAGGAAAAGGGTCCCCCTGGACACCTGCGTCACCCTACAGTCTGACCCCCCACACTTTTTGCAGTGGATCTTCTGCGTCGGCGTCCCCTCTAGCCCTTGAGGAAGCTGCCTTTCACTCACACCGCGGGAAGAGTACTCCTCCCTCAGCTGCCGGAGCTCTGCGCTCGCCATGTCCTCTGCAGACATCCGAGCGAAGGCCTCAGGCGACAGCGAGCCGCTGAGGAGGCCCTGGCGAAGATGTTTGTTTTTAGGATTCCTCAGGTTGGCCACCTTGCTCCTCACACAGGCTTTGTATTTGAGCTGGCTGGATTTGTGGAGCTCGTGGATGTGCTGCTCGATGTCTCCAGCCAGCTCTGCAGCGTTGTGCTGGTCAGGAAGTTCGGGGCAGAGGGCAGCGAGGAGGAGCTGGACGCATTTAGATCTTACAGATGAGAAACTACAGGATGCAGATGAGCTCCCTGCAGTTAAAGACAGAGTCTGGAGGCCATCTTTCTCCCCTGAGGATGATGCTTCTTCTTCTGCACTCTCCACCCTGCTGTCACACGTCTGTGCTGAGCCAGCCTGTTTGGAGTCTCCTCCACCCGCAGCCTCCTCCACCCAGCCAGAGAGCTCAGGACCCTCGCTCTCCTCTGTGCATTTCACACCTCGTCTATCTTTGCTGTAATGTCTCTTCCACTTGGACAACAAGCCCTTTGCTGTCTTCTTCACACTGCCATCGGGGCAGGTTTTCAGGAGCCTATAGAGAACTTTAACAATGTCCGTCGTTTCCAGCTGCTCTGCTGTGATGAGCGACTTATCAAGGTCACCAAGGAGGGTTACAATGTTCCCATAGCTCCTGTCTGCGTTGGATCTCTCTATCTGCAGAGCACAGTGGACTATTTCCTTTGCATCCATGGTGGCTGCAGGGAGAGATTGAAACTACCTCATCTTTCAGAAAAGTACCAATAAACATCTGTAACTACACAGCAGTATGCACCACTCAACATGTTAAAACATTGCTTTCTGTATGGTTCTGTTGGTTTACCTGAACTTCCTCATGGTTTGCAGCAACAAGCAGTAACACAGAAAAACGCCTACAAGGGAGCAGCCATGTTGGATCTGTCTTCAAAACAGGAATTACCTGAATTCACCTCTAGATGGTGCTGTCGACTTATAGAATTAGATGCTCAGTGAAGATCTTGAAGGGTTTTTCCATAAGTTTGTGCACACAGTTTGACATGTATGACACCTCTTTTTATTAGATTGTTTTTCTACAGTTTGTGTTTTGTGTCTGGTATTGTGACACAATAACAGGGCCTCACAGTTGTGCTGTGATTCTGTGACTTTATGTAAAGATTTTGGTGTTTGCATTTGGCTTTTCAGGTTATCCCCAATTCAGAAACCAAGCTGGATTTCTGTTTATTTTCACAACTCTGGATTAACGTCTGTGTCAAAGCACAGGATGAGTTGAGCACGTAACCCACTATCCTAGGGATTAGGGTATTCAATAAAGAGATAATAAGAATGTTCACGGATTAATGGCTACACTTTACTTTTTTTTCTGGCTGGTTGTGATTTTGCAAGAGCTAAAGGGTTGGATGATTGGATTCGGCGTGCAGAAACATGCAGTCGTGGTATACAAACAACCAGGCGGCCTCCAGGCAAGAATTCAAGAGTGGAAGGTATCTCACAACAAGATGAGGCAAGATCCCTTCAGCTGTTGTACAATTACATGTTAGGGGGGAAGAAGATGAATGAGTGTTTAGGATAATTCATGGTTGTGGAGTTCGGACAAGAAATGTTTCCGTGCATGAAAACCACTACAGTGGACAGACTAGTTTGCAGGTAGTTGTTATTATGACCTCAGAGCCAATGAGATCGTTTGACATAATCACACACTTGAGAGTGACGCATGTGGATGAAAATATCGAAAGTCTGGGCGGTTGAAAAGTTACACAGATATTCATTTGACATGATTTGAATCGGGATCCTCCAAAGAAATTCCAGAGTCCAATTTAGGGACTGTATGCAAAGTATTGGGACTGTATGCCTCACTTTTTTTAAACTTTAGATCCTTCTCAGTGAGTTTTCTTTGAATCTTCCAGTTGACTTACTTTTCTCAACAGAATATTCATTATGATGAAATGAATCTTGGGTCAGAGAACAAAAACCTGACCCTAGAGCCTCTCCTGCTCTACCAAAAATGCCAGACTGTCCCTGCCAAATTAATGTCAGTATCCATTAATCTGTTATTCTGTTTAATAATTTGGTCAAAAAAATATCATAAAAATAGTGAAAAATGATATAAAAAGATATAACATGACGTCTTCCAATGTCCTGTTTTGTCCAAAAAAAAAGAAAATATTTAATTTAATAACATATAAGACAAAGAAAAGCACCAGGTATTCACACTGGGAAGCTGGAATCGGATTGACTAATTCAATTAATCAACTTATTGTTTCAGCTCTATTCCCCTCCCTTGAGTGAACAAAACCCACCCCTTTTTCTGACCCCTCTCCATGCCCTAAACATTTTCATACAGTCCCTTTAGAGAGATTTCGCTCTAAAAGACAAAATATACAAATAAATAAATGAGCACTGTGTAACCTGAGGTATGACATCACCCTCTTAATCGTATATTAAAAATCAGCCTTCAAGATTCCTGCAGCTGGGGCCAATAGCGGTGGAGGTCCTGAGGGGAAACTGATACGGTATCTCTTGGTATAATAGCTTCTGGCTCTCAAGTCTTCAAACTGCAGCTTTTAAAACCCCCAAATGGAAGTCGAAGCTTTCAGGAGGCTTTCAGCAGCGTTAATGTTTAACTTTTCTTCCCCGGGCAGAAAAGTGTGCTGGCTTAAGGAGTTTTCTGTCGGTGTATCCGGCAATGTGCAATGTTGGATACTCAAGTTTGTCTTTGTGTTGTCGTCTGTTTGCTCTTTTGGTTGTTGTTAAGTGGGCTCTGCAGACTGAGGGTCCCCTACCTCAAACTGTGTGTTGCTTCTATGTGTGTGTATATAGATGGGTGGGGTCCAGCTGGGCCTTCAGCGAGCACATGTAAGAGAGAAAAAAAGAAAAAATCCTCTTTCAGCAGTCGACACACCGCAGACCCCCTGCCTTTTGTTTCTCCAACCTCACGTCTGGAATTCCAGAGAACGCACACAAGGCTCCTTGGGATCTTATCAAATAATTTCACTGCTGTCTGTATGCACTTGTATACTTCTTATCTGTGGGAATGGAATTTTACCAGCACGGTGCCACTGTGACGCACATTCGTCAAGAGGTGGCGCTCTACGCACTGTGCTGATTTTCATTGGAAATCTATGAGGAAGTGGAGTCCTGCTGTATCACATCCTGCTTTTGTTGTCTCCGCCTCTTGTGCAGACCACGCCACACTTGACGGCGTGTACGCATGAGCACACACACAGTCACCCACACACACACACACACACACACACAGAGAGACACACACGCTACCCCGCCCTGAGCTTGAGAAATCCTGAAGAGGAGGGAGGCTTTCTTGTTAAAGTGATCAGTTTCTTCATGGGCAGACATTCATGACAACATGGTAAGTCCCTGCAAGATCCCCCTCTACAACCTGAACACCCCCCCCCAAACACACACATTTATCCAGCACAAGTGCACATCAAGCAACACAAAATAATAAAAGGTATTCTCAAAAATGGTGAATCATTAGTTGTGGCTGTAATGTGCCCACACTATGAAAGGCTTTTGTCTTGTTCTTGCTCTGTCGGTGCAATATTCAACCTACTTAGGGACTGTACACAAATTATTAGGGGGGGAGGGGATGTTAGAAAGTTGGGAGAGTTATGTATTTTTTCTTTTTGCTGAAGGGGTAGTCTGATGTTTTTCTGAGAGCATTCTCTTGCAGGATTAATAAACAAAAGGACTAAAATAGTTTCAAATGATGGTTCTAGTGTGCACAGCGGGTCATAATACCAATTAATCTGTTTTTGCACAGATTAAGCAAACAAAGATAATGAGGCAGTTAGTGAGCATTAGAGGTGCTGGGGCAGGAGGGCGATTTTGTTACTTTCAGGCACAGCCAGGCTAGCTGTTCCCCCCGTTTCCAGTCTTTATGCTAAGCTAAGCTAAGCTGAACAGCTGCTGGCTGTAGCTTAAGACACAAGAGTGGTATCGATGTTCTCCTCTAACTCTTGGAAGGAAGCGAATGAGCTTATTTTCCAAAATGCCAAACTCTCCCTTTAAGTTTTAAATTTACAGTACACCATTTTCAATTCTTTTGGAGAAACAAGTTTTATAAGTGAAATGCAGTTGTTATATTATTTAGTTAATGGGTGCACGGTATTGCAGTTTTAATAAAGTCAAGAGTAGGATCCACATGAAATATTAATAATGCTGGGGAGGGTCTTGCAAAAATTAAAAAAAAAGGAATATAAGATTGAAACCTGCCTAATTTCACACAGAACCTTGCTGTGTCTCTATTCCGTGGACGTTAGCTGTGATGCTGGGGGGTTTTGTTTACGTCGTCTCTTTTAACACAGTGGAGGTTCAGGACGGCACAGCTGCTGCAAAAACACACGTGAGACTGTGGTTTTTCGTGCTCTGAGAGCCAAATCAACCTCTTTTTTGTGTCTGTGCTTAATGCTTTTGACAGAGGGGGTTGCCTGGCTGCTCTCTACCCATCACACCCACCCATCATGACCTTGAGCATGATCACAGATGACTGGATTGGACGTTTTTTTTTTTTCGACCTCTTTGTGTTTCTTTTCTCTCTGTTTCTGCCACAGGGTTCCTTCTGTTTTGACTGACACCCTGAAAGATTTCTGTGTTTCTCGAGTTCCTATTTTAGGTGTTATAAATTAGACAATGTGTCACAGTTGTAAGCTTGTACTTATTAACAGTCTTGCACTGCTTCAGGCAGGAAATGAGACTCTATAAACAGGCGAGCAACAAGAAAAAACAGTTTTGTCTGTTATGGTCAATCATAACATTGTCCTTTTGTGATAAAACTCTTGTCCAAGCAAGAAACAACAAGGAAGTACAACTGATATCAGCTTGTTTGTGATTTTCTCAGTGGAGGAAAGAGTCGAATGCATGATCACAAGATACAGTAACTCTTCAATTGTTTGTGGGGAAACAGAGCGGTTTATGTTGCTTCTGGCACAGTAAGAAACTGAATTTCATAACACTTCTGGTGATGTGATGCAACGCTTCTCTTGGAAAGAGTTCAAGAGAAAGTTGAATCTTTCAACTGTTAGCTCTGCAATAATGTCATTGTCAACTAACAAGCTCTGTTAACCCGCTATACACCAAAGGCAGTGACCTGAAAACATTAAAATAAAGTATGAGTATTGATTTTAATACATGACTTTCCCAGGAAGGATGTGACGTACCAATCCTCTGTGGTTACAACCATATGTTCCCTCCGGTGCACAAACAAATATCTACACTGATTCATCACATTTGTTTTCCCATGAAACCCCCTCTCCCACGCACACACACACACACACACACACACACACACACACACACACACACACACACACACACACACACACACACACACCAACTGGACACATGCTTGGCCTAATGGGAAATCCTCCACCAGTGGGCCCTGGGTTACAAATAACCACATCCTCCTATATTGCTCACAGTTGTGCAGCATCTACTGGACTAACCTTTGTAATGTGATCACTGTGGAGGGGTGAGGCTGCAGTGCAAACTGTGCACAGGTGTGTGTTTGGTTCAGCTGTGGGTGCGAGAGATAAAGTGGCACCAACAGGAGTCTCAGTCCTTCCAAGTGAGCAGTACGGACAAAATAGTCTAAAATTCTTGAAATTGGAACAACTAATTTCTCATGACGGCACGGTAACAGATGTCAGTAACAGTACACCGAAATATCTGTGTATAACATTACAGTGTATTAAACTGCATAAGGTTTTCATTTGTAAAACAAAGACTGTTATTTCCTCTAAGTTACATAGTTGAGCTTTAAATCAACTAAAGACAGTATCATCTTTTAAATGTCATACTTTTATTGGAGAGATTTACATGACTTTTTCTTTTTAACTTAATTTGACTTCAGTTGACTTTTGATGTCTTTTATTTTATTGTACTGGTTCCACTTTAATGTCTCTTGTTACTGTACATGTTTTACCATTTGATGCTAATCAGTTGCCTTTGTGAGGCCCTTTTTTCTTGATTCTTGAAACCTATGAATATTATATTCCATTTCTGCCAATAGACCCTCCTAAATGTTACACACTGGACCTTTAAAGTATAAATGCTGTGGTATATGGCATTGGTCCATGCTACGTACTATTATTATTATATTTAATCATAGTCATCTTCTGCAGAAATTTTGTATACAAAGGAAGAAAAAAATCATTCCCAGACACCTCTAATTATAACCTAACCACAACCATTTCCAACTTTATTCTCCCATCTCTAACTTTAATCTTCAGACTAAACTCAACCTTCAGGTGAGGCGGACTGATCGCTGCATTTCTATATGACTGTAGTGGAATGTCCAGGTCATATAAATTCATACACAACTTCCCTGTTACCCAATAATGAGCTGTAAACACACAGACAATCTGCGCAGTTAAACATCTACCTGTATGACAAGGTTTAAACAGGTGCGATCAAGTAGACTGAAGATAAGCGCTGAAAGTGCTATTGTCTGGAAGGGCGGCACCCTGTGTGTAAATGAACATTGTACCAGAAGGCTTTTCGTCTCTCACTCAGATAAGCAGCAGCTAGATATCCAGGGTTTGTTTGTTTTTTCTCTCAACTTTGGTATTAAATCCTGAGATGATTCTGCTGCTGATTAACATGAGAAAGTCCCTCTGCATGAGATAATGATAAATGTATGTTGCATTTTTCAAGTTTTGGTGCAGGAATTATTTCAAGTGAGAGGATTCATCTCTGTACGATGCAATGATCCAACTTGTGCTCAAAGTATTCCTCCCAAAACGGAAAGGACAGAGGCAGCATGTACTGTCCTTTCTACATTTTTAGCCTGAAATCTCCCCCTTTTCTTCCCCCCACCTCCCTGTAATTTCCGTTGGGTGATTGAGTCTGAATTCCAGATATCCCACAGTTAAGATTCATGGGCCTGCGGAGCGCGTGGACAGGACACTTCTTAACCCCTTCCACCTTTTATTCTTCTCTTCTCCCCTCTCCCCTTCTTTCTCCACCTTCTCTTTCTCCTTTATTTCCTGCATTTCACCTTCCTCTCCTCTCTTTCTCCTCCTCCACGCCATTGCTCCTCTTACTGCCCCACACATTCCTCCCCTCCCTCCCACATCCTCCATTTCTCCTCTCGGCGCCTGCCCTCTGTTTCAGCCGTCTGATGGATGCATGATTAGGAACTCGGAGAATCAGAATTGGTTAGCCGCAGGGCTGACATACTGTTTGGAAAGAGGAGTTGAAGGTAGAAAAAAAGTGAGAAAAAGTGTGGGATGAGGTGTGTTTTCAGACTGTGATTGGGCACAAGCCATGGGAATGTACACACACGCACATTTACTGTATGCATGTGTTCATGTGCACGCTCACACACGCTCCCAAAAATTCCTGCATGGTCATGTGGCAAAGATATTAACAGCCAACTGAGAGCAGGAGTCACCACATTGCTCTCTTTTACCCTTAGAGTAATCAATAAAGAGACACACACACACACACACACACGGACAGACACACAAACACACACACACACACACACACACACTGTTTAGTTTAAACCATGAGATGAGAAAAAGCTGTGGATGGATCATGTGTGAAGAATGGGTGTTATAGCACCTACAATTCTTTGGTCAGAACAAAAATAATTCACTGAAGTATCTTTGCATTAGCTCTTCAGTGCCACCATATAAGAAAAGGGTTTAAAGGGAGACTGTTACTTTTCACCGAATAAATAAGACAATGAAAAGTTAAACTCATAAGCAAGAATACACACTCTTTCTTATTTTATACACTCTGGATTTTTGC